AATCTGCTATTGCCTGCTTGAAGAGGCCAGAGCAGGGCTTGCTGCCCCGAGCTATATTTTAACACTTACTTTGAAGTTGCGCTGTGTTTCTCTTATTTAAGGACATCTCCATGTACTGTCTGCTGATCTCCCCTCCTGACTTCCACTTCTCTGTGCGTTTAGGCACCTGCTTACTGTTGGTATGTAAATATCCATGCGAAGCGCTGGAGAATCACAGAACTCAGCTGGTCCAAATCACAGGCCCGGGATACTCTCATGACGACGGCTCTTTATTTGCTGTGTGCTACCTGTTAAAGTCTTGCGGTCGACTCAGGGTGCTGCCTGGTTCGAGGTCTAGAAGAGATGGCGTTGCAAGTGCCAGGCAGAGTGTGTTATCTGCCCCTTTCCGTAGCCTCTCCTCAGAAAGGCTGCGGCTTTCTCGGAGCTTGGTCTTCCCTAAGTCCCTTGGCTATCCGCAGCTCCCTGCGAGGCCCTGCTTGCCTGTCCGTGAGCGGCTCAGGCTTGGGCCCGCCTCACGCTCTGCTGCTCCACACTGGCCTTGGAAGCCTTTCTTTTCCTCCCGTTGTCGGCCTAGCTCAGCAGCCTTCGGCGTCCACATCGTGGGCCTAATGTGGCCTCACTCACCTGGCCATCAGGTGCTCTGTCCTGCTCTTTGCCAGTCATTCCACGTTATTGTCCTCCCACTTGGTCACATGGTTTCTCCATTCCTGGTAAGATTCACTTCTTTTGCCAGCGATAATTTTTCCCTCATTAGGTTTGTTTATGGTGATTTTGCTAATGTGAAATATTTAGTTTTTAATGACATAAATATTTTTCTCCTTCATTTCACATTTGTTGTCCTGCCAACACCAATGACATGTTTTTTACCCAGGAATATTTGTATGTCTATTCACTGTTTGCTGTTGCATGAGGTTGTAAATTTTCACAGTGACGTTTAATTCAATGTCTCATGAGGCATCCTTCACAGGGCCCCTGGCCGTGAATGGACAGGTGCTTTCATTTCTTGGCCAACTCTGTGTCTGCTGCTTCCCACAGGAGCTCAGTAAGTCCAGGATTTACTTATTTTCAGACTGAGAATAAAGACCAGGCAGGTAAGACCCAAGGACTGCGGGTCTTCAGCCTTGGTGACGTTAAGGGTTTTGGCTCCCAGTGGCTAGGGATTTAGTAAATGGTTCTCCCCGCCTGAGTTCAGCTGCGTTGGCTCATTGGTTGGAAGAGGCCCTGGAGGTAGAGGTGGGGCGCAGGGCGCCTCGGCCAGGGCTCTTCGAGTTTGTCTCTGCATCTGTTCGTTCACTCATTATGCGCCGAGCTGCAGACAGCACAGCACGGGACCGGTAGGCTCCGCACCCTGTCCCTCTAGGAGGTGAGTGCCTGAGAGCCTGGTGACTGGTGCAGCGCCGTCTCAGGCTTGGGCCCGAGTGTGCTGTGTGGACACACTGGTGATGACTTCTTCCCAGCGAGAGGGAAGCGGAGAGTGCTGCCCGGGAGGAGTCCATACCCCAGCACAGCCCCGAGAGTCTGTGGCTGTCCTGTTCGAGGCCTGCTCTGCTTCCGTGCAGTCAGTGCCGCAGGGGCGTCATCTTGGTTAGCGTCAGCACTATGCACTTTTTGTTAAGCCTGTTCTTAAAATTACTTTGCAGTCCTGTTGAGGATTTTTTCTCTTCTATTCCTGGACATTTTCTCTTGTGCTTTCTGTACAAGCCTGTGAATAGAGAGCTCACCTTGTGAGGTCACACCTCCTCCCTCACTGGGTCAGAAAGCCCAGGGGGCAGGACGGCCACGGCTCAGGGGGAAGTTCCCGCCAGGCTCTCCTGAGCTCCTCCGCCTGCACTTCCCAGATGCTGGCACAGTGGAAAGGGCCAGGACGTTCTTCCTTCATGGCCATCTTCAACGGCAGTGCCTCAGGTTCCCTATTCAGTATGTGCTAGGGAAAGGGTTTGTTAACATAGAGGTACAGGGCGTCTGAACGCTGGGCCAGCCCAAGGCCATGGCCTTTTCTTGGGCCCTGGGGCTACCCTAGGGTGTCGCTGTGTTCCAGGCTGAAGGCTCCAGATGGGACCCTCCAGCCACGCAGTGATGGTAACGTGGTGTGAGCATGCACATAGCTGGCCCTCCAGGCTGCACACAGCCCTGTGAGCAGGGGCCACCCCGTAAAAGCGCGGGGCGCAGAGCTGTTCCAGTTGACAGGTCCAGTGGACTGGTCTGGGCTCTAGACATAGCCCCTGCCAGCCACTCTGGGGCGAGGCCTAAGGTCTTGCTGCCGTGATCCCAGGTCCTTGCGTAGCTGTGCGTGCATCGTTAGCAGTTTACCAGTCTCCTGAATCCCAAGTCCTCTGGCAGAGCCTGGACCTGAGCGTGCTGCAGGGTCCCGGCCCGGGAGGGGCTTGGCATTTCACGAGGATACTTGGAGGAAGGAATTTACTGTTCTCTAATCTGCTGTACTCTTCCTTTTTAAAGAAAATTTGTATCGAATGTTAGTTTACCAAGCGCAGCATCATTTTTACAGATGTTTACTTGATTTTTTTTGTCTTATTCCTGTGGTGGAATAGATTGGCTGATTGCCTGACGTTTTTGTCTTTCCTGGCATTATTCAAGCATGGCCGTGTTGCATCTCCTAACCTACTGCTGGCCACTCTGTGGTGACCTAGCTGCGGTGTTGCGTGAGTGGGTAGTGCCTCATCTGTGCCGCACGCAGGCAGGTCTTCTGTTTTGATGTAAAAGCCGCAGGAGCCTTTCGAAGGCTTGGTGCTTCCTGCCCCCAGCTTGGCATTTCCTGGCGATGGCTCCCTGTCTGGTGTGCGCAGGGCCCTCTGCCGGAAGCAGGAACGCCTGCTCCGGGGCTGAGGGCTCCTGGCCCTCCTCTGCCTGGAGTTTTGGGGGTTCTCTCTTTTGTTTTTCTTGTGCTTTCAGGCTCCATTTCTTGTAATTCTCAGGTTGCCCTCCTGTGATTGTCCCTCTCCTCTCCTTCCGTGGATCCTTTTGGGTGACTCTGGGCTTAGCGGCTGTGTAATTAAGCTTGTTATCTAATGAGTTCCAGAGGAGGCTAAGGGAGCCTGGAGAGCCTGAGGTCCTGTGCGCTGGGGGAGGCCTGTGCTTCGCGCGCAGGATTTTAATTGCCTGCCTAGCTTTTCAGAGAGCTTTTCCTCCCCTTTCAGTTGTTGACTGTCCCAGAGAGCCCGTCGTGCGGTCATCCATTTGTCCATCTGTCCACCTGCTCACCACTGGACACTGTTACTGAGCAGCCAGCGTGGTGCTGAGACCTGTCCGCCGGGTTCATTTTATCATTAGCTGTAGCAGTGGTCAGGTCTCAAGCTCCCAAACAAGTGGACGGTCAAGCCTACATAGACAGAGGCGAATGGAATGGTGCCAGGGCTCCAGGAGCATCAAAGTGCTCTCATAGGATGCAAGGTTCTCTGGGTGCTAAGGCCAAGTTCTTCTCAGGGAAGCTGGGTTTTATTTAGTTGTCAGAGCAAGAGAGGGGAATACACAAGAAAGGCAGAACCGCTCAAGGGCTTCTCCAAGTAAGGTGGTACCTAACTTAGGAGAACTGTGTTAGCTCCAGGAAGGTCTCCACCAGGAGGGAAGTGCCTGCGGCTGCGGTCTGTCTAGCTGAGGTTGAGCCGGGTGGTCTTGGCGGAGGCCTTGTCTGGTCCTTGGAGGCCTCCAGGCTTTACCTGCCTTTCCAGGCCTCGGTGGGACCAGTGACTCACAGAGGCTCACGTCCTACGAGCCCACTGCCCATCTCCAGAGAAGAGGCCAGGCCTTGGGCAGACTCACAGGGAAGCACGGAGGCCGATGGGTTAAGTCCTGCCCAGGGCTGCTCCGCAGTGGTCTCTATCACCGGCGCTGACCCACCGCAGCCTCCGCCGGGGAGGGCCTGTGGGGAGCAGAAGGGAAACTGGTGGAGAGACGCAGTAAGACTTTCCAGCTTTCTTCTCTTGGGGCTTAAAGGGACTAATGGCGAGACCGCTGCAGAGAGACACTGGAGCAGGCCTGCAGCGCTGGTCGTGAAGGCCCGCTGGTGGGCGCCTGGGCTCTCAGATCCCCCGGTCATGACAGGGCTGAGCCTGTGAGTCCATTGCATAGAACATCGCTTTCCTTCTGGGATCCCGGGGCTTTGAGGTGCTCTGGGGGTCACCTGTGTGGCCAGCCCCGACAGCACCTTGACCCTTGAGTCTCCCCTTGGCCTCTGGCCAGAGCATGGGAATGTGCTCCCTGAATTTTAGTGCCTCATGGAGATGTGCTCAGGGTGCAGAACGTGGGCCTACACGTGTGTTGTCCCACATTCCCTGGCCTTGGGATTGAGCGATTGAGCTCCGTGTCCTTTCTGGGTCCTCTGCTATGTCTTCACCACGTGGAGACTGTACTCAACCCCTGAGCCCAGAGGGGTCCGAGATCCCCACTCAGCTGTGACTGCTCAGGGGTTCTTTCTTTCCTGGTGCCATGGCTCACGTGTAAATGTCCCCCAAAGCCTCACACTAGAGCGCGTGACTCGAGCTTGTGATTGATTTGTGTTCAGTGCTGGGATTCAGAACGCGAGTGCCACATCTGCCCTAGGCGGATGCATCCAGCATGAGGGAGGAAAGAGGCTCACGCTGCCCTCCCCTCTTGCTGCTTTTGCTGTCTTGTGCCACCATGAACTGCTGCCCTCTGCCATATGCCACCCTGCATTGGAGCCAGCCGATGATGGACTGAAACCTCCACACACTGTGAGACAAGTAAACCCCTCCTCCTTTAACCTCAGGTGTTGACTATTTTGTTCCAGAAACAAGAAAATTAAGGCATGTGGTGACTGTTTCTCGTGGCTGCCTCGTGACTTCCTCATCGTAGCCTGTCTGTGTGGCTGCGCCCTGACAGCAGAGGCTGAGGGACTTTCTGGCTTAGGGAGCCTTCCAGGCTCTGCAGCTCATCACAGTGTCCAGGTGTCTGTCCTGTGGTCTGCGGCTCCTGCCGTTCCGTGAGCAGCATTACCGAGCGTTTCACTGTTTGTGTCCCTGCAGGTACGAGCACATCCTCACAGAGCCCGACCCCGTGCCTGCCTACGCGCTGAAGCTGCTCGTGGCCATGACGGAGCGCAGCCCGACCTTTACCAGGTGCTGAACTTCTCCGCATCTTCACCTTATTTTTTTTTTTTTTTTGTTTTTTTGTGGAACCAGAGATTGAACTCAGGCCCTTGCGTTTATTCCACTGAGCCATCTCCCCAGCCCCCTTATTTTTTCTCTATGAATTTTTTTTGTATTTTGAAAATGTGTAGAGAAGAGAGATCCTAAAAGCGAAGCACTGGAGTGCTCGCTCTTTGTGGGTGCTGTTTCGGCTTCTGCTGCCACATTCCTGACCCTGTGGTTGAGTTTGTACCCTGCGCAGTGGGCAGTGCCAAAACTAATACATTCTTCCAAGGGGAGCAATGAATCCATAGTGTTTAGAATTGTTACCTTGCGCTGGGCTGATAGCTCAGTGGTCTAAGTGCTTGCCTGGCAAGCACAAGGACCCGGGTTTGATCCCTGGTGTCCTATGCCACGCCAGTCCTGGAAACTGCTGCGCTGGCCCTGAAACTGGGCATGGTGGTGCACGCCTGTAATCCCAGTGCTGGGGAGGCCGAGACGGGAGGTTCACTATGAGTCACATGTTACCTTATACCTTATTTTTGCAGATACCGTATGTAAATCTCTGTAATACTGAGTGACTTTCTGCCTTTCTGTCGGTTGACTACTTTGGAGAGCACTGCCCTCCTGCGGGTGCTGAATGTGGCATGCTGGTTACCTTGGTGCTGGAGGCCTGGGCACCTTCAGCCTTGCCAGGACAATTTGCTGGGGAGCACACAGGACGGGGAAGGAGGCGGAGGGTTCTTGGAGGCGTCCTGACCCGTGGGGCCGTGAGACACAGTGCCAAGCGGGGCAGCCAGCCGCTCTCTAGCGGTGAAGCTGCACAGTCTTGGCGTTGCTGCCACCTGAAAGGCATCCATTAGGTGCCGCTGCCAGCAACAAGGAAGCCGCGTGTGGGAGAGGGGGGGGAGCTGCCTGACCGGCTCCCTGGCAGGCGTGCTCGTGTGCGGCGGGCTCTCGGCAGTGCCAGGGGCCCAGGTCAGGGTCTCCTGCCTGCTGGGCTGCGTGGCTCTTGGCCAGGCACAACCTCCATCTGCCCTTGGGAGTGCCCCGGGATGTCACCTTGCTGTCCTGTGCCCCGTGGGGAGCTGCGGACTGAGCTGCTGCTGGGCTTTACTGACCGGAAGCTCGCATTCCGGGCCTGCTGGGCTTTACTGACCGGAAGCTCGCATTCCTGGCCTGCTGGGCTTTACTGACCGGAAGCTCGCATTCCGGGCCTCTCAGCACCTTGCAAAGGCTCCAGGGTCTTCATATCCCTCCGCAGAGGACACCGTTGTCTCTTCCCAAGGAGCAAGCCTGGTTCTGCAGCACAGTGTGTGTTAAGGCTGAGGGTGAATTGAGGCAGCTGTGCCGCAGCGGCTGACATCAGGAACCAAGTGCTGCGTGCTGACTGTCTCTTCCTGCACTGGCACAGATGGTGCTGTTTTGTTTTGTTTTGTTTTGGTAGCACTGGGATTGAACCCAGAGCATTGTACCACTGAGCTGCATCCCCAGTCTCTTGTCACTTTTAGATTTTGAGACAGAGTCTCACTAAATTACTCAGGTGTACTCCAACTTGCAGTCTTCCTGCCTCGGCCTCCATGGAGGCTGCTATTATGTGATGGATGTGCATCACTGTGGCCAGCTGGTTTGGGGGTTTTTTGAGGCAGGATCTCGCTGTGTAGTTCAGCTGGCCTTGAACACACTGGTTAGCCCTGGCTGACCTGGGCCTGTCAGCGACCCTCCTGCCTCAGCCTCCTGAGAGCCTGAGTCACAGGTGTGCACCACGACGCCCATCCTGCGATTTACTTCTTTAAAGTTGGCTTCAGCTCACGCCTGCGGTGTGTATTCTAGGTTCTTTTCTTGCCAGTTCTATTGAATTGAACTGAATTTCCTCCCATGGTTTGGGGTGAGGAACCCTGGAGAAGGAGAAGCAGAATGGCCGGCCTCTCTGACTGCCTTATTGTCTGAACATTAGAGACGAGTTAGCCTTTGCCTTCAGCTCTAGCAGTAGCTTCACACAGTCTGCCCGGCCCCCAGCGCCTCCCCGGGGCCTCTTCACCATCTTTCTTTGTTTTTTTAATTTATGTATTTTGAGTGTCAGGACCTGTAGTGATCCTCCTGTTTTCAGCCTCCCCAGCGCTGGGATTACAGACGTGCACCACCACGCCCAGTCTCTGCCAGCTCAGCAGGCCTGGGGGAGGGGCTGGCTGCATGCAGTGCCAGGGATCAAACTCAGTCCTTGTGCTTGCCTAAGCGTGGGCTTAGTCCGCTGAGCTCTCTTGCCGGCGCCTCCTGTCCCTCTTGGTCTGGGTCCTTCCCGAGCAGCTCTCCTTTGTAAACTCAGTGCGTGCCCTGGGATAGCTGTGCTTTGTGGTGGTCACAGACCACCAGTGCTCTGCGCAGGTCTTCTCAGAAATTGTTTCCATTTGTCAACCTGATGTGGAGGTCTTTGCGTACGAGTATTTATTTGTACTCTTATCTAACATCTGTGCTGTGCTCACTGGGGCTTTATTTTATTTCCCGTTCGCCCAGTGACTGATAATACTGAATGTCTTTTAATGTCGGTTCACTGTAGCTAATTAAAATGTCCGTGTCAAGCTTCCCTTAACCACGAGGGTGACTTCTCAGAAGCTGTTCTGTGGAGGATTTCCCTGGAGGCACATAATTTTTAGAGTGATACCGTATTGTGTAATTTATGTAATTTTACACAGATGCACAGTCAGGTTGCGATGCAGCCACAATACGGAGCCCTGTGTAACAGTCTCAGAGGGCAGCAGAGGTGGCGCACAGAGGTGCCGGCCACGCTCTGCTCCATTGGACAGCTCAGCTGTGCGCCCCACCCCCACCAAGGGGCCTGTGCCCACCTGGGGTCTCTCCTGGGCTCTCTTCTGGTTCCCCTGCCCCAGAAGGGTGTCAGGTTGGACCTGGATCCTTCGGTTTTGGCTGAGCGTAGCGTCAGAAGCAGAGCTGGATGGCTGCTGCCGCGGCTCTGCCCCTTGTGGCAGGCACCCTGGCCATGAGTGGCTGGCACGGAGCTGCTACCGAACTAGGAATGGGCTAGGGTATGTGATAAAGAATCAGGCCGGGGACTTGTCTCTATTCCCGTAACTAGAATAGTTTGTTTGATTAATTGGTTGATTGATTGGAGACAGGGTCTTGCTATGTAGTCCAGGCTGGCCTTGAAAGCCCAGAGATCTCCTGCCTCAGCCTCCTAAATGCTAGGATTATAGGCATGCACCCGACTAGGATTTCATGAATGCATTTGATGTGGAACATTTTGAAATGGATTATACATTTTTGCTGGGAAAAGAGAACAGCATAAGAGGCAGATATGGAGAAGCCGTTCCTTCCTGGCTGGGCTCCTGTAGCCTCCTGTTCTTCCATTTGTGTCCCTACACAAGCCAAGCTGAGTGTGCATTCTCTCTTTTCTTCCTTTTACACACAAATAGCACGGTATATGTGTTTTTTCTGCCCCTGAGTTTTTTTCGCTTAGTAGATATTCCCAGTTGCATACCGTTATGATACTGGAATATTTTTATATATCACAGTATGTGTTGTGTAGGATGCTATGCAGCAGGTTAGGGGGGCGACACAAAAGCAACTGCCGGTCCACAATGGTGTCTGCACCGCTTTGGCGAATAGGGTGATTACATCCTCTTCCCTCATTTCATAATTTATTAGCCTCTAAGAGACAGACTTGAGCTGTTTCTAATCTCATGATACTGGACACAGTGAGTGATCTTTTCTATTTATTACTTGGGGTCCTCTGGTGGGCGGCAGGAGCCACCTGTGTATCAGTTCTTGAGGGTTGGTGGCAGCACCACTCCTCCCCACTTTCAGAGAATAACAGCTTCGAGAACAGAAAGTGTACGTCGTCTGTGTCTTTTCTTGACAGACGCATAGATTGCATTTTCTGTGTATTGATTTGGTGAGTCCTCGATAGGGAATATTTCTTCCCTAATTGTCGACTATTTAAAATGAAACTCTAATTAATGACAGGTCCTTTGTCCCGAGTGAATGCATTGTATCTAAATATTTGGGTGAGGAACAGCTTCATCAAAGGTAGACGCCGTTGGTGCCCGTTCCCTGTTAGGAATCCCAGGGCCCCAGCTCTCCCCAGCCGATTTGGTGCCCATCTCTAGGCCTGGGTGGTCATTGTCAAGCTCCCCAGCTGATTAAACACATAGACCAGCTTCCGAGCCGCTGACCAGAGGCGGAGTGATTGTGAAAGACCCTGCTGAGTCGCCCGCAGGCCGGGCTGTGCCACACCTCATCACCCGAGTGAGAAGGAGCTTGGGGCGGACCCTGGATGAAGTTCCTGGATTGCGGGCTTTGGCTTTCTTTTTGGGGGCGTGGGGAGCAGGTGGCAGTTTGGGTCCCCGTGCTGAGCTGTATCCCCGCCCCCTTTTACTTTTGTTTTAAGTAGGGTCTTGGGAGTCTACTCAGTTGCTGAGTTTGGACTCAGTCTTACGACCCTCCTGCCTCAGCATCGCAGTGTGCCGGGAGGAGCGATGTGCGAGGCCACACCTGGCGGGTCTTTGTCATGCTGGTATGTGAAAACTGAGCCTTTTATTTTCTAGTTTTATTGCCTTGTGGTCAGCAGATAATATTTCTTGTTCTGTTTATTTATGTCCAACATGTGACATGTTTCATTTTGGTACATGTTCTCTGCTTACACGCATACTGTGGCAGGACAGACTTAGGCCTAGCTCTGAGAGCTGTCACCTCTAGTCTGGTGCCGAAGGTGGTCATACGTTAGAGGTCTTCCCATCACTTGGCAGCAGTGGAGATGAACCCTTGTGTCAAGGAGCCAACCGGGCTCTGGGGCTCCCCAGAACCTTCGGTTTACACACGCAGCCCCCAGGCCCGGGCTCGTGTTTAACCTGCTTCTCCACTTAGGAACCCAGCCCCTGGAAGGCGTCCTCAGCCACTTCCTCAAGCGGGGTCCACACCTGCACTTCTTGATGAGACGAGAATGTCAGGGGCCCAGGCGGGCACAGAAGACTGAA